TAGCTAAGTATAACCATATGAGCTTCTCAATGATATGGAAATGTTAAAGTCTGGTGTTAGACCTTTTTGAACAGGAATTTTAATTACTGAAAAAAAATGCATGCTCAAAATATCTTGAGTATCTGTAGGTTCTGAATATTGTTTAAAACAGCCCTGAAACTGCTGTACCTAACCGCAAGGAGCTGACAATGAGATGTAGCACAGAGTACATGATTATGTAACTACAAATGGGTCTAAAAACCCTATTTAGCTTTTCCTAACCCACATCCTGATGTGAAAGCAGCTTGACCATTAAGTTACTATTGTTTATAATTTTTTCTTTGATTTCTGAAGCAAGGCAAGGACATATTTCAATGGTGCAATGACTAGTGCAGATGGCAAGATAACTGGCACCTCAGATGAGCACAGTGAATGCCAGGCAGCTATGAGAATGTGAAAAAAAGCAGCATATAAAGCTAGTATGAAATTAGACACAAATTCTCCAATTAAAAAAGAACTTCAGATTATGACCAGCATCTGCCCAAACAAATGCTTCCCTTAAATCAGACAGCAATAATGCTGACCTGAATCTCTGAGAAGCTTACAACTTGTTAGCAAAATGTTCTCTTTGTTGAAACTTGTACATACTTCATACTTTTAACACATTTCTTCTTCTAAGCACCTAAACCCAGTTTGATTTGCTATTGTGGTTTAAACACAGCCATGCAGTCTCTCTCTGATTCCCCCCCTTCCTCCCCCCTATCCCAGAGGGATGGGGTGGAGAATCAAAAGATTGTAACTCCCACGGGCTGAGATAAGAACAGTCCAGTAACTAAGGTATAATACAAAACCACTACTGGTACCACCAATAATAAAAATGATAAGGGAAATAACGGGAAAGAATACAACCACTCACCACCCACCGACAAATACCCAGCCCAACCGAGCAGTGATCTAGCCCTTCCGGGTAACTGCCTCCAGTTTTACACCCTGGGACCCTGGGCATGACATGCTGTGGTATGGAATACCTCTTTGGTCAGTTTGAGTCAGGTGTACTGTCTCTGCTTCCTCCCGGCTTCCCCTCCTCCCTGGCAGAGCATGAGGCTCACAAAGTCCTTGGTCAGAGTAAACATGACTTAGCAACAACTAAAAACATTGATGTTATCAGTGCTGTTCCCAGGCCAAAAGACAAAAACACAGCACTGCACCAGCTAAGAAAGAGAAAAAATGACTGCTACTGCTGAACCCAGGACAGCTATATGGTATAATTAATGGTTTATATGGAAGTCAGAGGAAAAACTATCTTTTTTTATATTTATATCTTGACTGCTGTAAGACCTCATTTTGACAATGCAACATCACAAACACATGCTTTAAAACAAAGGAAGAAACATATTCCTGAGTTCACATAGAAGAGATCAAGAAATTACTGCATTTTTATAGCTCATCTTACATTGAGGATGCTCTTGCAAGAAAATTGAAGATAAAATTTATCTTTGGAAGTGAAATGAAGGGGGAAATAAGAGGATCTCAGTTTCTCATTCTTTACTCTGTCATCAAGATTAACTTTTGCCTGTTTACCACTGAAGCTCCTATTCCTCCTCTACCTCTGATGCTTTCAGGGAGAAGGCAGCGATACAAATGAGGCATTCGCCTCCAGCTCCTATGAGATTAGCCACCAGCTGCTCAATGACCTTGAGTCAATGAGAAAACATACAGAACTATTGTATTTTCTAAACACTTTCTACTGGTAAACTTTGAACAGGATGGGTTATAGAAATGTGACAAGATTACATAGATTAGAACATACAATTCTAGTTGCTTGTGTGATACTCAACTCTGACAGTCAAGGTAGACTTGAAGATTATTCTGAAGCCCAACTCCAGCTATGGTCCATCTCAGTTAAGCTCTCATTACCTGTCCACCTTGATTAGTCTGATTTTACTGCTACTTTTCTTTGAGCTCCACACTTTCTGCAGTGTTTCAAATTCACTTTGTTTTGATGGTCTTAAGCACAGCAGTTCTGTCAGCAGTGATCCCTAAGTGCTCCTCTTCGGCTTCACATTTATTCTTTACCTCTCTTTACCTCTTTGTCAGGGACTAGCCTAAAAGGTAGTCCACACATTTGGTTGCACAGGAGCTCAACTTTGGGTATCAAAGATGCCAATGTTGATAGCTTTAAGTGAACTATGTTTTAGCAGGTTGGCTTATGCGGCTTAGAACTGTCAAGACTTCCCTTCAGCTTGACCCTAAATATCAGCATGGGCAGATCCTGTGCCTCCTTTTGAGAGGTTTCTTTTTGTGTCTTCCAACACAACACAAGTCCTTATGCTTTTTCAGTGGAAGACGTGTGCCAGATACATCTTTTGTCTGACTTGCGTAGTTGATCTTATGTATGTTGAATGCTGTGAGAAGAAACACTAGAGTCAAAATATTGGGCAAATGGGAAGGGCACAGAGTTTACATTTAAAGTTCAGTGGAGATTCAAACGTAAAATTACTTTTCTTCTACTAGTGTCTGAGTTTTCTTGGCTTCTATTAAGGGAGGGCACTGATCACCTTGGAGAAAAGAAACGTAGGTTTGCACCTTTGTGCTGTTTGCATTAAAGATCTTTTGTCTAATTTTGGGAAGATGCTTTTATGTGACTGCTTGAGCTCTCCAGATAATCCTTATCTTTTGTTTATAGACTACATTGCCTAGAGTAAATTGCTATCACTGTGAGGAATTTTCTCACGAGTGGATAATTACTTAGTATCTACTTGACATCCCTGGTTTGTAGATGCATGCTATGTTACAAGATGAACCTTTCTCTTAAATATTTCTTAACTTTGAAGAACTTCCTACTAACAGCAAAATACTAGGGATCAAATCCTCAGGTACAGTAAATCAATGTCTTTCCATTAAGCCAATGGAAACTGTGTTGATTTACAGCTACTGAATATCTTGCCCTAGATATTGATTCGATTTCTTGTTTTCTAGTGGGAATAGGGCCTGTTTAGCTTCTGCTTTCTCTTCTCCTTCTGCATATAAAAAAATTTGATTCTTTCAATAATAAATTCTACAGCATTTTTTTTCCCGCTACAAAATAAAATTCCTTAAGAACATTTATTGAAATGCAGTCATTTATTTGTGCAAAATTGCTGCCATCTTCACTTTCATCTCATTTTTCATGGTGTCCAAATTAAATATTTTATTCATTGGTTGCAGTTGTGCCCACCATGTATATTACTTTGTCGTGATGGAATGAGATTGATGTGCTGCTTTGTAATCACCTATCTATACATGCCATCTTTATCAATACTGGTTCATTTTAATTTTTCTTTGCCAAGAGACAAGTGCAGAAAATCAAATAAACTGGAGTTATATTGTTTCAAAATTTAGTTTATTACATGAAATTTGAAAAGTGCTAGCAAAATAATGGGAGACAGCTGGAATAATTCCAGGCCATTCTTGGAAGGCTCCGCACTATAATCAGTCGAGTTTTTTGTCAATGTGCCTGTAGGATTTGATGGGTAAATATTACCATCATTAAAACATATTCAGCTTGAAGAAGAGTCTGCAAGTGTGTTGTTGCACTGAGAAATTAATATAAAAAATTACTCTCTTTCTATTTTAATGCAGAGAGCTTTGTTTTAATCTTTTTTGTAGCAATTCAAAGACTGGTTTTTTATGTATTAAGCATACATACACATAATATCCTACTTTTATAGTGTATGATCATACTGTATCACATTTTCTCCATCTTAGAGTCTACTAAAAGTATATTTTCTGATTTTTTTTTGTTAGCTTTTTGGAGCAATGACATTTTTCATTTTGTGCATTGGTTAGCACACGACCTAGTGCTGGCTCATGAATACAGCCAGAATTGCTGTATGGTTTTGTTACAGTGCAGTCTTCTTATTTTACTTTTGACGTGCTTAATGTACAAAGACCTTCCTCTGTTCTGTGAAAATGTTAATACAAAAGCCTTTCCCAACAGAGCCATAGGTTTTCTCTCCTGGCTGTTCAACATATCTGAGGTACAGTGTAAGACATAGGGTCTTATATTTCTTTAAGACCACATACATGCATATATGTGTATGTGTATGCTTGAAAGAAATGCTGAAAGTCATTGACTGCTAGGTAACTTCAGGACTTAAATAGAGCGTAGATCCATGTAAAGTTAGCGTGTGAGTATCATGATTGAAAATATGACTACATGGGTGATTATTAATCTTAGCAGAGTCATTTGCAAAATACTCAGTTTGAAAGGTTCTTTTGGTGAGTCTGTATGCTTAAAAGGGAATGTATGCTAAAATAACTGGTCTAAATGTAAATATCAATGTGCCTTGTTCCAACAGCACCTAAAAAGAATTTCAAACTAGAATTCAATCAGCTTCTAAAAGGTTTTGCAAGACCAGAAAGTTTTTTTAAAAAAACAAACCAAAACACAGCATGGTTCTAGAATGCTTGCAAAAAAGGGAAGCAAGATACAAATATAAAAATAAATAACTGAACATATACACTGATTTAGTGGCTGTCACTGTTTCATAACACAACCATTTATAACTTGGTCATATCAACAGCACTTCAAAGCGTGATGAGATAATGACATTTAGGTACTCAGCAAAGCAGAAGAACATATGCCATGGTTTTGATAAGATATATTTGCATTCTGTACAGGCAGTGGTGGCCATGTATTCTGTCTGTCATTACATACTACCTGTAAAGCATGTTTGTCTCCTGTTAAACTATATGAACAGTCACATCTGATTTTTTTTTTTTTTTTTTTTCCCCAGCATTGGACTGAATTTTGGACAGAACCAAGTTCATTTGAAATTAATAGAGATATTCCCACACAATTCCCTGTCTTTAGGTTTGGGAAATTTGCATCAACATCTTTCTACTTGTTCTGTTTCACAGTGTAGCCATGTTCATTATAGCCTGGCCACTGGCCCTCGGGTACGGTGTGGAGACCAAACTACATCACTCATATGTGTAGAAAACCACAAGGAAATTATTTGGGTTTTTTACTATCAAGCTGTTCCACCTCTCCAAATTGCACCTTCATTTTAGTAGGTCCTGGTATCCCACTTCAGACTTGTGGTGCTTGAATAGGGGTGCTGTTGGAGAGTTATTACATTGTCAGTCCTTGAAAGATGCAGAATTAGATTTCAGATACTTAAAGTAGTTCTCTAGACCAAAAATATTGATTGTCTACAAAATGAAACTTTTATTGACTCCTTAATTTTCACTGTGTCAGAAATTATTTCTAATGTTTTGCCGAATAAAACTTGCTTTCAAGATGTTGAACAGCTGCTACCTTTATTCATATTTGTACTTAGAAGCTCTATTTTGCAAGATATTGGAAATCACTCTAAAAGAAGCAAATGCCTTTTGTACCACTGAAGTAGCCACAGTCGGGGAACAACCTCCTCAAATATAATTTCAATCTTATTAGACACATTTTAGGTTAAACTCATTCTCGAGAATTGTGTTAATAAATAAAACTTATAAACATATTTATATGCTATGAAAATTCCAGAATGTTAGTGTTCATATGCTTAGCAAAACACAGAGTACATTTAATACCTGCCAAATGCAATATACTTTCCAAACTGATAAAGAATCCCATAATTCAGGATTTTTCAAATATACAGGTTACTGGAATTACACCAGCAGCCATGTATAGCTACAGTTACTTCTAAATTCTCATATCCATATTATGTTATGCATGCCCGTGCTCACTGTTTTGTTATTCCTGGTACTATCTGAAGACTAATACTCTAATCAACATGATTAAAGCTGTCAAAATTTGCCCCACTGGAAGTTTTGATTGTGTGCTGAACCTGGACTTGCATTCCTGATTTTGGTGTGGCATCCACAGTCGGCAGCTCAAATGCAAACTGCACCCTAAGTTAATTTTTTAAGAGCCTAATTCAGTAAGGTAGTAACTGTAGATATATATGGTTAAATATGGGATTTGCCAATATTATGGCTGGAGGCCTCTATCAAAGGACTGTAGATTTAGATAACATCAGCACATTTTATAATGTTGGACATCAGCAGTGTCAGGCATCATGAAACAGATAAAAGGGTGAAGATACTATGGGCCATAAGAATTACACTCCAACCAGTTGAAGGCAAAAATGATTAAGCCAAAAAATGTCTTTCTTTTTTTTTTTTTCTGAAAGAGTATCTAGTGGTACAGAGGAAGACACCCTAAAACGTTAAAAATCTAGAAGGAGTCCGTGTACAAATAAGAGAAACACTATGTGATGTACAATAAAGTGAAGGTTTTTAACAACTTGAGATTCCTCAAAACTCCTGCTTGTTTTCTTTTTCCAGACTTTTTATGCTTCAAGTGGATAGGTGGGGGATGGTTACACTGCAGTGTTCAATACAGAGCAGCTTTCTACCTGAAAAATATTGGTCATTATTAAGTTATTTCACAGACAAGTTCCCATGTTAAGCTGAAATCACTAACCTGAGAGTGAATGTTCATGGTCCGTGACCATTCACTGTATCACTGCATGTAAATGTGTTCTGAGTACTTGCTTGTTGATTGACTGAATAAGTCTTTCAGTGCAAGTTTTAGAGCAAAAAGAAAGAAGGCAGGTTATAAAGAATATAAAATAAACTTCAGTAAAGACCTCTTAGGCTCAAGTCTGAGCCTGACTGGGTAAAACCACATTTTCTTTAATATAAGAGTACAGCTGGACTTTTCAATAAGACAGTAATAAAGAGAAAGAATGTCAGCAATGAAAATGTATAAATGCATAAAACACATATTCAAGCTCCGTTATTTTTTAAGCTTTTATTACTTGTATCACTGAAAATATTGCTTTTATATTATTTTTTTTACAATGAGATATATTTTGTTAAATAAGTTATTTTCTTTGTCTTTCATGGAATTACCTCAATTATCTTTTAAGTAAGTGAAAAAGTGCATTTCATTTTTCTTCATTATGTTTTCAATGTCTCACTACAAATACAGAAAAATAGAAAGACAAGCACTACTCTGGCATCCAGGCTATGGCATCTGCTGTTCCATGTGTTGTATGTCACTGAGTAATGGTAAAGATGTGCTAGTCTGAATAGAACCTCTTCAAAGGAATAACCTGTCACAAGCTAGTAAAGTCCCTAGTGCTAACAATAATATTATTATCTAGAGACAACGTGAGATGCATACAATGGAAGCTTCCTGGAGTGGAGAAAACATTAGTGGAACTTTTGCATCTATAAATGTAATATATGCTGCCCTGGCATGGTAATGAGTGGATAAACTGAGAAATATAGTTAGAAGGACATATCTGCGTATTTCAAAAGTCATAAGTTGGATTGTTGATGTAGTGTATGTATTCCCTAAAGTAAGCAGGGTTAATTCTTAAGAAAGAGAATTGTGTGGCAAAAGAAAGTCCTTCAGAGTCTTTTAACTCTATTGAATTGAAGCTACTAGGCTTATCTTTTCCTTTGTGTTTCCAAGGATGATATAAAGGAAAATGAACCAACACTAGGAGAAGAGTCATTTCATTGTATCACTGGTGCCTTCAGTTTATTTAGCCTTTGAAAGAATGATGCACATGATTACCTCAAAGCCGGAGCTCAAGCTCTTGCTAATGTAGACCAGTCCATAGGTGAGCCATGATGGCTAGCACTGCTATCTTCAACTGTTGCTGCAGATAGTGGAGCCCTGCGCCAGAGAAAACGTTTGAAGCAAGGGGATGGTAAGTTGAAAAGAGGGAGAAGCAATAAGAAAAACAGACAGAAGGAGAGGAAGTCTTAGTCCCTTACCAGGAATTGAACATAGGAGCGAAGAACATCACCAAGTCTTTAATACAGCTGATTGCAGGAATATAGTTCATGTTTGTGGTAGTTTCAGGCTTTCACATATGTATTTGTCCCTTCAGACATTTTTTGGATAATGATATTTTGAAAAGGCACTAAAACTCTGGTTAAAAAGATGTATTTTCTATCCTCATTTTCATTCCTTTATTTCTGCCCTCTTTTTGAATGACCAGACAGTGTAGTCAAAACCTCAGTTGTCTTTTAGAAAATGATATCAAAATCAGAAATCTGTTGTAAACCATTCAAGTGAGTGGCAAATACCTGTCATCAGAAAAAAAAGTATCCGGCATATTGTGATCAGATGTAATTTTTCTATTGTTTATCTGTTATTTTTGCAAGGTTTCTACAAAACAAAACCTTATATAACAGCGTGGATGATACGCAAAAAGATATCTGTTCAATATCTCCAGCGGCAGCAACTCTGTTTTTTCTACAGTAACTTCAGGATCCTAGTGGAAAACTATAAGGAAGAGTTATCTGACGAAATAATTCAACAAAAAATTCTGAATAATGAAAGCATATAGGAAAATGTGGTGAGTGTCTATAAATAGAAGAAACAAAGATGTCAAAATATTTATTGCGAATTCTGTTTCCCAGCAAAAACCAGAAAACATAACACAAATACCAAAAAAACCCACCCCACACCAAAACCCCCAAACTGGAAAGAAAAGTTCAAGTGGCTGCTATTTGAAATGAATGAGCAGTGGAGATTGGCCTACATGAATGCAGAGGTTTATAAAGGGAACAGACTGCTTGAATGGGAGATTAGCACTATTATTTCAGAAGTTAGACATTCAATGCATTCAATTTTAGTTTTCTAATGATTTAATTCCTAATATTTTAAAATAAGTCTCAGAAATATTAAATAACTGAGAATATTTACCTTTGACTGTATTATATACTTCAAACAGCTGCTGATGCTGAAACGAGTAATATCAAGTAGGCATATAGATAAATTAATAAGAAGGCATATAGCTAATGTGCTCTTTTCTTTGACTGACTACTTTCTGGGTTCTCCTGTTCAATATTTCTTCCTCCTCAACAGAAAAGCAGAGACATTGTGCATGCAGAGTAGCTCAATGCATATGCTAAACCGCTGTATTGACATGCTGTTAGTTCCACTCACTAGATCCTGCATTCGGTCATTAAGAATGCCATCAGCTTGAGAAATGCTTGTAAGGCTTAACAAAACTTAGGACACCCTACGTTCTGTGGTTTGGTTGTGCTGTGTGATGAAGTAAAGGGAAAACTTAGTCTGACGGAAACTCAGGAGTGGCTCTCCAAGCCAACCTTTACTCTGTCACCTAAACAAAAAGATCACAGTGAAAGGTACTACAGGCTTACTGTAAAGCTGTGCCTCCTAGAAAAGATATGGGACAGTACAGACTTTCTACAAAATAAGTCAGACCCCAGGTTTATTCTGGAAGCAACATGTATATAGATGAGTGGTTATTCACTTTCCATGAGCACCAAACCTGGCTTAAGGTCAGTCTCAAACGTGATGGTTAGTGCAGCTTCTGGAGGAGGGTAATAGGAGCTCCCTCAAGGACATAACTTGTTAAGTATCAAAAGCATCAGACTATGGTACAAAGTATAGGATGTCTGGTTGCTTTTTTTTTAAAAAATGAAATTTCTTCATTGTGCATTTGGTGTGTGGTGAAATCTGTACCTTCTGGATATTCAGGCATTCTGTATCCCACAGGGACTTAAAAGGGTCTTATATGCCTTGCAGCTCTGGCTGGGAAGTTCTGAGCAATCATAAAAGTAAAACTATATATATGTAGTTTTCAGACAAAACACGGAGCTCCATATGAGCTCAAGGGTAGGTAGCTGTTGAACAAGGAACTTTTTCTCATAAATTTTGGGCTTAAAGATTAGTTGTCTGTGTAAGTCCTGTGTCAGGTGTATAACTCTCAAGTCTTAGCAAGTTTTAGCTTTTGGTTGGCCTATGAAGCAAACATTGCTTGAAGGCAGCAGGACATCTTTGAAATGTTTCTGTCATCACTTATTCAAAATAAATGAAGGAAAACTTTTTCTCTGAACAGAAGTATTACATGCCCAAAGGAATCAGGCAGTCCCTTATGGTGTTTCATTTTTTCTCAAAATGAAAAATATTTGTTCTAACATTAAGCTCCAATCTCTTATAGTCAAGCTTTTTTGTCTCACCTTTCATATACATGCTTTTATATATACATTAATATATATGCCCATATAAAAAAAATAATTTTTTTTTACATTCTTGCTTAGACAAAACTGATCTGATTTTCCTAAATCTTCCCCCATAGGTCATGTTCTTTACAGTTTTCTCAGCCCACCTGAATGTGATTTCATCTAGATGTTAATTCTCTGGTTTGCATACTAGAACATTAGAATTTACTATAGAAATTAAAAAAGCCTTACCAAAGTCCAAATATACCTTAGCTGTGACTTTTCCCTTAGCCAGCTAGGCCAGTAATCAAAGAAAGAAATTAGATTGACTTGACATGTTTTGCTCCTGGTAAATACATATTTTCAGGTTTTTATCACCATCTTATTCTCTTGTGCCTTATAAAGGATTTTTAGTAAATTGTCCCAGAATTTTTTGAGGAAGAACAGTGCGGTGACTGGTTTGTACTTTCCCAAGAGAGATATTTTCTCCTTTTTGAAGTATGACATTGTGATTCCCTCATTTTATCTTCAGGGAATTCTTCATCAATTTTACAAGGTAAGTGCTGTGATTCAGAGACTGCAGTCACTTAAGTATACTTAATAGAAATTCACTGGTCTAAGCTAAATAGCAAATCTCTGTCTTTTTCGCTTTCCTTTTCCATGTTTAGGAAGATATGCCCATTTCCTTAAAAAAATTAATTTAATTAAATATTGGATCATAGTTAACATTTATTTGAAGATTGAAATAAAGCATTAGATACCTCAGCCTTCCTTGAGTCATTCATTATTTCATCTCCTTCTTAATACATCCTTTACTTCTTTAATGTGTAGTGTATTTGTAGAACCTTCTCTTGTTGCTTGTTATGGCCCTTGTTAATTATAATTCATTTTAGCCTTAGCCTGGCTAAGTTTAAGCTACATATCTGAGCAGTTCTTTTACAGGCTTAAGTATGTGCCCTTGTTTCCTTTCATGTGCAGTTTGTTTTTCCATCTTCAGATCATTAAATTGCTGCTAATACAGTCAAAATGACTTCTACTAGACTTCTTGTCCTTGAGAGACCTTCAGTTGTGTACTTGGCATAATGTTTCCAGTACCCACCAGTACTCACACCTTTAAAAAACCTGAAATTATCCATTCAAAAGACCTTATCAGTAAATTGTTTCCATTGATGTTTGCTTTCTCCAAGTGCCATCCTTTTGTTACTTCTTTTTTTTTTTTTTCCCAACATCTCTTTAACTCATATTGTTTTCCACTACAGTCAGAATCAGTAGCTGTTCTAATAATCCCCCTCCCAAAGAAAAGATTGTCTCTTGCGCATGCAGAAAACATTTTGGGCCCCACAGTCTAATTTTTTCCAAAATACAGGAAGGAAAGTCAGACACCAGTCACCAACAGGCTACTTCTCTTGGGTTGTCCTTGAATTTGTCTCTAAACAACCATATCCAACAGCCTGTCATTGATTTAGAGGTGGAGAAGTTGCTTCTTCTCTGAAGAGACTATCTTCTTTCTATCTCAACCAAAGTCATTAAAACTCTTCCACTGAATTTTTTTTTCTGAAGTTCAGAAAGCCCTCTTTATAAATAAACCCTCTACCACTGCATCTCAGGTACTTTTCATCCCTCCTAAGGTGTTTCCTTGTATACTTACTATATTCCACTAGGAGTCACACCAATTAGTTAAGCCTTTAAGTTATCTCTTTTTATTACTCATATCCTTGTCATGTGCCTAGAATATATTTCATATACTCAGTTGCTTGCGACATTATTCTTTCACTTGCCTTATAGTTTCTCACTTTTTCATCTCACTTTTCAGAGAGAGGCTGGTTTCCTATTGCTCCTCTAAGAGGTACAAATGACTAAAGACAGCTCTTCTCTTTCACTTTTAGGTTTTTGGAAGCTAAGTATGTATGTCCACTGAGACCTGACTTTTTTTGCACTTGTAGACTGCTTCTCCATTCTCACTCCTGTCCTTAGTGTCACAAGCAGACTCTCTTTTGCAATTTTGTGATTACTCTAGAAGATAGTGACATTTTCCCCAGATTAGTGGTGGAAAAGTAGGGACTGTGCCAATAGATTTGAATCTGTTTGCCAGCTTGCAGTCTGATGAAACACAAAAGAATCCATCTGTTATGTTTGATATTCCTCCTTTGGAGTAAAGTGAGGAGAGTCCCAGAGCTGAAGTGATCACATCTAAAAGAAATAAATGACAGCCTATTCTAAGCCATGGGGGTTTTATTTCTTATTTAAACTCACAGATGAAAAATCAGTTTTTTCCACATGCCTGGATTTGGAAAAGCTTTGGGGTGGACTTGATAAAGGAAAAAGATAACACCAAGAGAAGTATTTCCAGCGATCTGTGAAGATCGCACTTCTGTCTTTAAAAGTAGAGTAAGTCTGTGTGGGTAAGCCGGACTAGCTCACTTTGCTGTTAAAACAAAGTTCATTTGTGATTGCCTAGATACATTGTATCATTAGGTATTTCAGCAGCCTAAGTTGTAGCATCTCTTGGGAAGCATGATGCTGAAATAAAGGGACCTTCATTCCAAGGTCACTGACTTGGATCTGCCCCTAGGTGAAAGAGCAAAGTAAATAAAGCACCCTTGCCTGATGGCTTTTTGATTAAATGTGAAGAGATCTAATGGACAACAATCAAACATAGAAATGCCCAGATTGCAAAACTACTGTCAGAGTCACTGA